CCCCTTTTCCTGTCAGCCTACTGTTCATAAAAACAAGCCACTAGTGCCGTTAAAAATTCAAAAGAGAAAAAAATATTCTGAGTATTTTTTTCTCATATTTTATTTTTCTAGATATGGTATTATCCAGACTATAGAGCGCATCTCACTATAAGCCACGGCCACATGAAAAAAAAAACAAAAAAACTGGAAACGTACATATTTATGTTGCAGCGGGCTATAACCCGCTGACATCTACTGAACTGTCCCCCAGCAAACACGTAGGGGGAACTCTACGTATCGCTTCCGTTAGTTTGTTGCTTTGCAGCAGTGAGTTCTTTCACTGAAAGATGGGCCTTCATCAGCTCTTTATTTCAGGTCTGTGGGAGTTGAGACCAGTCTTTATAATGGTTTGTCAGCTTTAATGCCCCAAATAAATGTCAAAATGGGTGAATTTAGGACATTTTTTCTCCTTGTGACTCCTGCTAAAATGTTCTTGTACTAAATGAAAATTAGCCACCATTCTTTAATTTCCTCAGGTGGTTTGGAAAAACCCACAGAAAAGACGCACCTTTTTATAAGCCGCATCGTTTGAAGCATGGGGAAAAAAGTAGCGGCTTATAGTTCGGAAAATATGATGCATATTTGTTCTATTTTATTTCTTTTTTTACAGATTTTATAGTTTCCGACTGAAGAGGCATTTCTATTGGTCTGCTGGGCGTTAGCAGCAACATTTTTATTGGTAAAGAGTGCAATGGGCTTGAAGTAAAGAGAAAATGATATTTGAAAGACAATTTATAAAAGATAGACGTAAAAATAATAAAATAGGTAACAAAAAAAAAGAAAAATTGAAGTTTGAAAAAATTAATTTGTAAAAAGAAATTTTGAGAAAACAGCAAAGACTCTTTTCACAGGTCTTTGCAACAATAATAGAGGAATAGAATCCCTCTATAGTGGCAGGGAGGGATGCAGATACAGGGTAGAGGTGGTTTCTGCTTACGGTAGAAGGAGAGTCTGTGTTCCTGGAAAGCAGGAAAGCCTTGCTTCTCTCCGGCTCCAGCAGCAGATCAGCCGCAGACAGATCCATGATCCGAGAGTGGAGTTTCTGTAAGTCCAAACAAAAAAAAAAAAAAAAAGGACACGGTACGGTGAGTTTTAGCTACAGGGAGCTCAAGAGATTGAAGTCAGCCTCCCTGTAAGAATTGAAGATTTCTTTATTGATTCTTTGCACTGTTTAGATCAAAACTAAACTGATTATACAGGCTGTCAAAATATGAAAAAGTGAGAACTTAAGGTCAAGGCTGAGCAGCGTTTTACAAATCAGATCCAATTCGTTGGAGCCGATTTCTCTCTTCAAAGTCATTACAGCCATCGGGCAGCCAAAAGAAAAAAAAAAAACGAGTGTGAAGAGGAAATAATTGCATCGGGGGGTTAGGGATTCATTTGATTTGCCTCTGTTAAATTTATGTCCAACTCTCTTCTGTTAGTTAACTCTTGCACATAAGAGGGAAGGACTCAAAACCAAAAACATTCCCACACATTCATCTCCGAACTTAATTACGCTCGATTCCCCGTGCTCAAATTAACTTAAGCTGGAAATAAAGAGGAGCAGAATACTTGATCTTATGTTACACTTCCACTGCCAAGAGCCAAACGAACGCTCACTAAGGGAGTATATGTACAGACTCTGGTGTAAACAGTAAGGCTTGTGTTGTGTTCTTGGAGAAAAAAAAAAAGGCAACATAAAACATTACATAAAAGATGATAGAAAATTGGAAAGTGTCGTCAATGGATGTCATTTTCTTATAAACGAAATGCTTTAGTTTTTGTTCCCTGCAGAATGCATCCCTCTGATGGCCTCTGTTATTATTTTACTTGAAGCATAAAAGCATCTATGCTTTGATATTTTTTGTTTTTGTCCACATTTTCACAAACTACTGAAATAAAAAGCTTGTTTTGTACTGAGAAAAGTCATTTTGCCAAATTTAAACATAACTCGTCGAAAAAAGCACTCTCGCTAACAGAAAGTTTGATGCAGTTTATTAGGACTTTATGTGAAAAACGAAACATGGCCTTCAGCTGATTCAGTGTTTTTTTAAACCACCTTGAGCTGCATTTACAGCTGAAAGCCTTTTGTTGTATGTATGCATGCATTTCTTTATTATTTGTTGCCAAACAGTTCAATCACACTGCCAGTAAAAAACATATGCTAGCTGCAATTCAATTCAGTTTATTTCTATAGCGTCAATTCACAACACATGTCATCTCAAGGCACTTTACAGCTCACCAGATCATACAGTCAAATTGATTCAAAGTTTTCTATCTAAGGAAAACCAGTTGATTGCATGGAGTCATTGACTCTTCAGCAATCCCTCACACTAAGCATGCTTGTAGCGACAGTGGAGAGGAAAAACTCCCTTTTAACAGGAAGAAACCACCAGGCAGAACCATTTGTAAATTAAAGCAAATAGATATTCAATGAGTGAGAATATGAAATTAGAAGTTAAGAATCTGGTTACAACATTGCCAAAATACAATGATTTATAAATTGATGAAGCTGTTACACTCCGTGCCAGTTGGTGACGCCGATAATAACATTCGTTAACCGCCATTGAATGGGAAGAATACGGAGAAGACAAAAACGTAACTATGAATTTTTATACTTTTGCTAAAATGTTGTCTTGAACACACGCAATTAAAGGTAAGATCTCTTTCCTTCTTCTCTCTCCTTGGTGGTTGGCGAACAACCTTCAGTTGCATTACCGCCACCAACTGGTAAGGAGTGTAACAGCTTTATTCAGGGTTGTGACTTTGTACTTGAATTTTTTCAAATGTAAACATATCTGAACAGTGTGCGTTTGCAAACGCAGGTCCACGAACATGAACAGATTTAGGATTCACGTTCATTGCTTTTTTTCAACTCATAAAAATGTGAAATCCTTTGTGTTTCTCTGTGTGAATTAAGAAGTTACAAATAAAAGTGAAAAAAAAAAATGTTAAAAAAAGGGAAAAAAAGCTTTGCAGCAACACAAATACAAATTAAGAATTTATGGCATCAGTATGAATTACAACCCTCGGTGAAGCTGGTTTTACTCCTTACCTGATGGTGGCAGTATTGTTCCTAAAGGTTGTTATTATATTGCTTTTTAGCAAGAAGAAAAGGTTATACTTTGCATGCTTTGAAAAAAAAAAAACATTTCAGCAAAGCAATTATGCAAACTATAACTATCAATTTATCGTTCTGCTCCTAATTTTTATTGTTAATTGCGGTTGGTGAACAATGTTTAGGTTAACGTTACTGTTATTAGAGGTTATAGCCAATCTGATAAATCTGTGATTTGAGTTTGTACTCATGCAAGTTCGTAACTTTTTAACTTGTATTTGTAACTTCTAAATAGTGTTGCACCGATACCAGTATCAGGCGTGGCCCCGATCCAGCACTAAAATGGTGGTGTCGGTATCTGCGAGTACCAACAAATAGGGCACCGATACCATTTTGAGAATCAAAAGTTTATCCAACTATTGTCAATCATTCCAGGTAGGCAATAAAAAGTTCTACTGGATTCACTTTGTATTAGATTTTTCCTGTTTCACAAAGGTAGGCAGCAGCTTGACAAAGCCATGATGGCAATTATTTTACATCCAAGTAGTATGCAGTTCTTCGTATACACACATACATTCAGCCGATATGATATCGGGCCAAAAAACGGCATTGGCGCAACGCTACTTCTAAACTTGTTATCTCATGGATGTGACAAATGAACAAATGTATGTAGGTCAATAAATTGGAAATAAATTTAACAAGTGACACATTTGTATTTGTGGCTTGTTGCCAACCCATAAAAACAGGACATTATTTGTTTTATCTGTGAGAATAAACATATAAGACAAGTTAAAAACTTACAACCTTGCAAAAATAAAAATACAAAGTTACAAGTACAAATTTACAAACCCCTGATGAAACTGTTTACACTCCTTAACACTTGGTGGCAGTAAAGTTGTTTGAGTAGCGCTATCTTTAGTTCTGTTATTGTCTTTTTCCTATTTTCCTGTAATAGTGGTTGGCAGACAACCTTGTTATTTCCGCCACTAACTGGTAAGAAGTGAAACAGCCCCATCAGTTTGTGATTATGTCTTGTATTTTTGTAAAGTTGTAACTAGATCCCTCAGCATCAATAACTTTGAAACTCACAGATGAAATATCTTTAAAATGCATGATTCCCACAGGATGATGCTGCTACAATCTTGTCTTATCCTGTTTGATGGTCTTCTTATATTTATGTAAGTTGGGGGTTGACTGTAACCATTACAAAACTTGAAATGACATACTTTAAATCCCAAAGCATGATACAACCACTACCTTGTTTGATTGCATAGATAGTGTGTTTAGGGTGGTTGAATAAAGATTTTGAATGAAGCTATTATAACCCTTCAATATGGAGTTTAAGTCTGTGTAGATTTGTTGTTCTAATGCAGCCATGCAGACATACTCTGAATTGGAAACCTTTATCTCGTGTGCCATGATTGTAGATAAGCTCATGCTTAATTTGACTAACTTTAAATACTTAAATATAGATATATACTGATCGATAATTTGTATAAAAAATAAAGTCATGCAATAATCAGATACATTTGTTTTCTTTTCTGTCTTTTCTTTAACTCTTACCAGCTTCCTTTAATGTTCCCCCATATCATGATGCTGCCACCACCATGTGTCACTGTTAGGTTGCATTGTTTATGCTGTTAAGGTGTTCTTAGGTTACTTTTAAAGTTTGGGTGGCTTTATTACACAGTTACAAGTTAATTTTTGTTTATTAAATAAAAAAAAATCCCAAATGAAAAGGAATTCATGTGAAATATCCATAATTGTGATTTTTCTGTAAGTCACATTAGTGGGCCATGCAGTCAGCGCGGGATGGGAGTGGCAGGTTTGTCGCAGGGGCCTATGATCTTATCATATGGTGCTCTATTTCACCTCCTCAGCATCCTCATCAAGCATTCAGTCAATAGTGTCACCGGGTCACGAGAGGGATGATGGTCGAAGGCAATGGAAGATGACAAGGCCGTTTTTTTTGCTGTGGCTTTTTTTAGGTTCAAGGCCGAGCTCAAAGTCAAAGATATTCAAAGTTCCCGTTAACATAAGGCAGACTGTAATATCATGTAAATACTTGCCCCTTTTTTACCATCTTCAACCCAAGAAGTTTTTGCAAGATATTCTACGGAAGACAACAAAGGCCCTCCGCTGTTCGTTAGCTTTTTTTTTGTTGTTTTGACAGCAGCCATATTTCACGATAATGAATATCAGCCCAGAATAGCAGCAATAGGCAGCTTCCAAACAAATCCGTCAGTATCGGCAACCGCTGTCAAAAAAAAACACACATCGGGGGGGAAAGAGTGTATGAAGCACAGTGTGATCAACAGGTTTTATTATTAAAGTCTGTCCTTTAAAGGTTCAGTTGGTTATAACATCCATCTTCAATGCATAAAAATACTCCGGTATTAAAAGATCCGTATATATCTCTTGTTGTTTTTTAAGCAACCTGATAACATTATGTCTTCATTTTTATGTTTTGCATTCTTACTAATGAGGTCAGGGTGATTGAACTGGGAGATATATTTGTAAAAAAAAAAAAAATTTTTCTTTCCCCCAGTAATGGGTGACTCATCTGACACCTGTCATACATGATGAGCTGCGTCGCCCGATGGGTGGCGGTACGGAGAAGAAGCGACAACCAGAGACAGCCCTGGTTTATTCCTTTTTATTTCCTAAGCTTTTTGAAATAATAGGTGATATTCACAGGAAAGCATTTTAGCTAAGAAAAGGAGGGGGCACTCAGTTCCCATCCAAAGCATTAGCGGTTCTTTATCAGAGGAACTCGAGAAAGCCGTGGGGAGCTGGGGCCCGTTTAATTACCGATAAGCAAAAAAAAAAAGGTCCAGATCTGGATGAGAAACTCAACGCTCTTACGGCTGATTAAGTCTCCTTCTGGCCTTACGAGGAGTACGGGGGGAGAGAAAGGGAAAATTCATGCGGAATATTTCTCTGCCTCCACTAAACAGTCTGCATCTCAATTTAATAGGAACATTTGTAAGAGAAATTATTCC